ATTGAATAGAGTGATTTGTTTGTTTGTGATACATGTTAAATCGAAGCACAAAAAATTCCTTTGCTACATTAATTCTGTTGAAAACTGAAAAATGTGAATACAAACTTTGTGTGTACTCCAGTTGAAAAGAAAACAAATCTGAATGGCAACTCATTATATTTCGTTGTGATTTTGTGTATTGAAACATTTTTGTCAATACACTGTAATTTTGTCGATGTGTGATGTTCAATATTCAACTGATCCTTGCCTTCTTAATGATGCTGGACATATGTATGAATATAAGTGATACAAAATGCAATCAAACAGCGAAAACAGTCGATAGAATTGTTGATATAAATTTTATGTAAACAAAATCGAACATTTGAATCTCATGTTACACATACTTTCATTCTTTAAACGAGTAAGAGTCAGCAAAACGCGCATTGTATCAATACCGTTGTATGCTTTGAGATTCAAACAAAAACGGCAACACATTTGAGTGAGTTTGAATGAGACTGTAAAATGTCAACGTAATAAATGAACAATTTTATTGGAAACTATGCATATAATCAACTTTCCATTGACACGAAAATTACCACCGAAATGGGTGAAAACGTTACATTTTTCAACGTTAAAATAGATAAAAAACGTTACATTTTTGTTTGCTGGGTATGAAGTGGACAAAGAGAGTATTGCTAGGGACTTAATTCAAAATTTTCAACGACTGAATTCTATAATAATATCCAAATTAACTGAATTTTTCTGCAAACGAATGAATTCCAGTGAATTCTACGGCGATTTCATTCAAATATGTGAGATAGTGGTGAATAGTTTCTGCTGGCAATTACTGCAATATTTATATTTTGTGTAACGAAATTGTAAATGTTTTTTATATTTTTTTAATAAAAATTAATTTTATTTTCAATTTTGAGATACGGCAAAAAAATTCACAGGAATTTACGTAAATTTACACTTTTGAATCGAGTGGTTATTGATGAGTTCGGTGAATTAGTGTGAATAGAATGAAATGCGTCAAAATAATAAAGTGAGGTTATGATAACCGCAATATTTTTTAATTTATTATTTTTTCAATATTTCCGATTGTTTTCGATAGAAAATCGCTCAAAATTGAAAATAAAATTAATTTTTATTAAAATAAAATGTCTTGCATCCGTAAGATGAACTTTTCCGCACTGTGATCCACAACATGCATTTATTACAAATCTTTTACTCAAAGAATTCACGAGAAAACTGAATCTGACATTAGTTTTACGATACAAATAATTTTCGAAGCACTTTTCATACAAAAACTACTAAAAATGAGAATGTTTGTATCGCAGCCATGCCTATATGATATCGCTCGCTACGGCACGCTCGCTCCGCTCGCTCGGCTAGTATCTTCTTAAAAATGGTTAACAAAAATTTTTCCTTGTCTATAAATTAAATATAACCTTCGAAATTTTACATGGATATATCTATTTTTCCATCCTAACTAAATTGTATTAAGATTTGAATAAGAAGCAAAAAATGCAGATATGGAGAAAATGATCAATTTATTGAAAAAATCACATTTTTACCAAATCTTTAGAAGACTTATTGCCTACAGTTTTTCAGAAAAATGTACAAAAACAATATCCGTTTCATATTGTATATAGATAAGGATCATTTACGCAAGCACATATCCCCGTTTTTCTTGACACAAAACGTTAAATTTCTCATTGATTTTGATTCCAAACTTACCCTTTTGTCTCAAATTGAGTCTGGACACTCAAATTTTCATACCCATATAAAAAAAATCAATTTATTTATTCTTCTAAACATTTCAACAAATCATTTAATCTGGTAAAAATGACATTCTTAGATTTTAAGATTGCGTTTCATGTTTTTTTAAAGTTATCATTTTAATGAAACATTTTCCTCACAAAAACATCTTGCAGATGTTTAAAATTAGAAGTTAATCCTTTGCCAAATATATACAAAATAAATAAATTAGTTTTTTGTACTTTATTTTCAGCGAATTTCTTTTTATGTTACTATACATTACATTTAAATTTCTATCTTTCGCGAGAAATTGTGAAATTAGAAAACATCACAACAAAACGTAATGGACTACGTTCGAAAATGACTACTGTAATTTTTGTTTAAATTGCTTTTTGAAAATGACTGGAGCCAATGATAGCACAGCAAAAACACCCAATAACAGTGTAGAACGCAGTGAAAAAGCGTCCGATGAACTCGCCATAGTGTTCAAAGTTTGACCCGCTGTGGGAAGGAAAAGAGAGAGAAAGAAGGGTTACTGATGATTTCAATTTAAATTCTTTTTCAAACTCACCTTGAATTGCCAAGAATGATGGTGGAGCAACGCCTGAAACATCAAAATGAATTCATTAAAAATGTGGTAATAATTTTTTTTATAAATAGATGAAAACTTACCCAAAAATGTACCCAAAGCAAATGGATATAATGGTACACCAATAACCGGCGCAACCAAATTGATGAACCAATTTGGCAAAAATGGCGTCATTCGCAAGAATAATATATAACTCAGCAATTCATTTCGGTGCTTCTCAACTTGTTCGGACCATTGCTGGGCTCGTTCGGGGAAATAGTGTTTAACTAAACGTCTTCCGACTAATTGCGATAATAAATAACACAAACTGGCACCAACCGCAGAACATGTACACACCAATGTCAATGCAACGGGAAAATTAAATAGAAAACCCGACAAGATTGACAAAAATAATGACCCTGGAATCGCAAATGCCTGCAGACTAAACAAAAAAATACAAATAAAATTTAATATTTCATTTCAACAATAAATGGTTAATGAACTTACAAAATGTAAATTATCACGACAGCTGATATAACCTCGAAGTAGTATTTATCCTTATATCTATCAAGGACTTGACCCAAATTTTTGGCGTCATCAATGTTCCATGGTAATTTGATGTGCTTTCTCTCAGATCTAGAAACAAAAATGAATGTCATTTTTGAATTGCAACTCCGTCATTTTCAATTTCATGAACACCACTTACTCATCCAGTTTCGGGAACATCATATAAACATAAAAAATGGCAACCAAACTTATTGAAAATATGGCAATCAAAGTCAAAATAGACTTTTTGGCCTCATATTTCTCGTTGCTGAACATTTCTCCGTTTGGTTTCGTTGAAGGTCGTTTCATATTTTTGTCTAATGTACTTGCAGTGCTGCTACTGT